AAAAAAAAAAACCACATAGGGAGTGAGGAGAACCGCTCTGATGAAGAGCAAAGTCTTCTTCTTTCACAGTAAAAAGAAATAAAACTAGAAATGAGAAAATGAAAAAATGGAAAAATGGAAAAAAGAAGTATCCCCCCTCCTCCCAGCGCGGAACAATTAATCATCCTTTCCTACCGTCTTCACCCGAATAAAATGCCCGGTCATTATCGCTGCATCTGGACTGAAAGTTGCCCCCAAAACGCAGCTATAATGAGAGGGCGTTTTACACGGGTGAAGACGGGAGTGCCATGGGCTTCGCTAATGCCACTGGCGGACATGTTGTTGGTGGTGACCGCGAAGAATGTGTGTGTTGGTGTTGGCAGCGTGTCAGACAGCAAGGAAAGAAGGCAAGCAGGATCCTGATCAAACTGTGAGTCCAGGTGCATGCAGCTGCTATTACTGTGTACAGTTCTGTTCTACTGTGAGCATACGAATACGACCGTTGCTCCGTTGTGGTATAAGGCCTACAATGTGATGAGCCTGGCTTGTGCGACCGCCGGACAACGTCACTGGCTGGCGATGACAGTGAGGAATGTATGTTGGTGTTTGCGGTGCGATAAACTGCAGGGAAAGAAAGCGGGTAGGCTGCTGATCGAGAACCGAATGGAAGGTATATATGTTGCTGCTACTACTTCGTACACTGCCGTGCTGTTGGACTGTGAGCGTACACACTTTGCTCGGCTGGAGCCTGGAGATAAAGAAGACTGTGTCGCGAACACGGTTTGTGCCACTGGCGAAAACGTCACTGGTGGTGACAGGGAGGAATGTGTTGGTCTTGGCAGTGTGACGGACAGCAAGGGAAGGAGGAGGAGGCAGGAGGCTCCTGGTCGAGCTGGATGGTGGTGGATGTATGCCGCTGCAGCTGCTTCTATATCTATATGTACAGTGCCGGGCAACTGTGAGCATACACACTCTTCACTCTGCCAGATACGACACACATAGCCGGTAAGTGGTTTTTGTGTCGCAAGAGGTGACCAGATAACATGTATTGAAATCTTATACAGGTTTAATATGCAAGTCTGTAAGGGCGTACTCACACTAGAACTTTCTGTACTGAGCTCTGGACGTGGTTGTTGCAGTCAGATTCATCCGGGTCTCGCCCTCATTGCGGTCAGATACATTTAGAAAAGTCCGAGTGTGAGTACGCCCTGTGAGAGGAGTGCAAGCAGATCCCTTTAGTATTGGTATCCTCTTTGGGTGGCTCCTTGCAGATGGAATATTAGATGCAAGGAGAAGGAACCTGGTCCAGAAAGCGTCCAAAATTCCAATTGGATATAGAATGCTGAGATGCCTCTGTTTCTCACCTTGTGAGAGGAGTGCAGCAAACAGATCCGAACAGATGCAAACACTTTCTTCTGTCATCCCAGGAGGGGAGAGCAGCAACCGCGTGAAGTTCGCCGTTAACACTCACTAAACCACCAGCACAGCCAAGCCTGTTTTCGCCGAGGTGGAAAAGAACTATGTGCCAAGCTTTGCAGAAGCGCCAGCGCGAGTTTTTTTTTTTTGTTTTTTCTTTTTCCCTTTTGATCGACGCCGGCGGACACTTTGGCCCGGTAGCACAGCTTATCCAGAATTTTCAGAATGATTCATTTTTAATTCCCATGTTTACCTGGGCGCCATCTGGGCGGTGTATGTGCTTGCGGCTTAACAAAAAGTTATTGGTCAATCTAACTCAATTATGAAGAAGAAGGAAGACATAATGATAACCTAATGCATGCATGCATGCATGGGTGCACAGCTAGATCGACCAGGTTCCCGCGCTTCTCTCAGAGAGGGGAACAGCAATGTCGTGGACAACGATAAATAAGCTTGCTTGCATTATAAGGTACAGAAGAGAAGGAAGGGCCGTTATCCGATGTACGGATGCATGCAGCCTGAGCTGGTGACCAGATGCCAGACGTGAGATGGGAAGAAGAAGATGCCGATGTTACAGAAGAGGAGGAAGGGGCATTATCCCATGTATGGATGCATGCAGCCTGAGCTGGTGACCAGGTGCCACACGTGCAACAGAAGAAGAAGAACAACCACATGTCAGGAGAGGAGTCAGTGCCAGCAAGCTGGAAATGAGTCACTTCCACTCTTTCCTACCAGATCCCCATGCGTGGATGGCATGCAGCCAGAGCTGGCGACCAGGTGACGTAAGTGGGAAGAAGAAGAAGAAGAAGAAGAAGAAGAAGAAGAAGAGGAATGAAATGCTGGCGAGTCTGGAGAGAGTGCCAATGTCAGCAAGCTGGAAATGAGTTGCTACTGCTCTTTCGTACCAGCGTACGGCGGCAAGGATATACCCCCGACGAGAGTTCGAACTTCGAATCGTTCATGCAAGGCCAAAAAAAAAAAAAAAAAAAAAAAAAAAAAAAAAAAAAAAAAAAAAAAAAACTCAAGAG